AGGCTTGGTCGACTTGCAATAGCAATTTGGAGAATAATTCAAGACATATTTTAAAGTAACCAAAGGCGCCCTTTATTCATATTTCAAAAATATTTACAAAAGAACATTTATAAGACAGCCCATAACGATATAAAAATCCTAAGCGGCTAAAAAAATCCTAGGAGAGATCCATCCCCACGCCCGGAGTCAAAGGCAGGGGACTATTTCCAGCAGGTGGCGAAGGAGTCGAGCACATCTCCCGATCGGCCTCGTCGCTCTTTTTCTTGTCCGAACCCTCGATGGTCTCTTTGGCCGAGCCTTCGCCGCCCACCTTAGCCCTTTTTCGGGGCGCTCCTCAATCCCCTCGATCTCCTCATCCGACCCTTCATCCTCTGTACCTCCCTCGCTGAGGTCAAGCCTCCCACCTTGGCTTTCTCCAAGAACGAATCCAAACAATTGGTGACTCATGGAGGATAGTGGAAATAGTTGAACCCTGCTTTGCAAGCGATCAACACCTCCACTTTTCCAAGAGACTTTGGCAATACTGCTCCACGACCTCAGATTGATAGACCTCTGACTCAAGATAGGTGATCCAACTCTGAGCTTTAACCAGGAACACCTCGTGATGAGCACTCTCCTCTTGGATCCTCCTCTAGGCCAGTTCCTCTTCCTTGAGCTTGTCCCGGGTGTGTCGGGTAGCTTAGAGCTCAACCTCAACCTACACTAAAGCATGGTCTTTATCCTGCTGTCCTTGCATGATCTATTCGAATAAATGTATTGACTTCTTGTTGCTCTCTTGGAGCTCACATTTGAGCCTATCGATCTCAAAGGATTTTTGGGCATCGAGGCCTTCAAACCCTCGATCATCTGCTCCCACACCTCCATCTCTCGCTGCCAGTTGCCCAGCTCATCCTCCTTGGTTGACAGCTCCTTAAGGGCTTCCTCGAGGTCACCCCCCACATTAGCTTGTCGAGCATCCAAATCCCCTTGGAGTTTGAGATATGCAATCCAGATTCTCTTCATTCGGCCAAAGAGTTCTTGTTCCATGAGAGCCCCATGAACCAAGTAGCTACGGAGGGCATGATGAAGGCCAACATTGGGGACTTTCCCCTTAAATCTCCATGTTACGAGGCAGCCAGAACTACTCCACTGCTCTCATTTGGGCAATTCAGGATTCGAAGACTGACCCCCTCACATTGAGATGATGAGCAGGCTGGTGACGATGCTCCGGAGATGGCTTCCTAGTGTATCGGAGGACAACACCCGAGGTCGCTATAAGCATCATCCTCATCCTCTCCTAAGCTTTCATCCTAACCTCATGGACCTGATGGGGATACGAATATCCCAAACCCTCTA